ATAATACTAGAATATTTCACAAATATATATCTCATATTTTCATTCTTTTTCTTATAGTATATAATTACATTGGTTTCTAAATGCAAAGATGCCAACTGCTTCGGACACGCCAAAATAATTATAAAAAAACGGTTAATAACTACTAAGTAAATTTTGCAAATAAAAAGTGATAAATTATATAAGCCTACGAATTATTTAGAAATAGTGCTGGATAAAAATCTTCTAAATAGAATTTATTAAATTAAGAATCACAATTATACGTATTCTTTCATGCGTCAAATTGACGCTTGTTCGTAGAGATAGGTATATAAGAAACGTCCGTGAACCTAGTGTTAAAATGCACAAATGCTGAAATATTCTTATGAGACAGTTTTATAAGAATACTAATTTATTGTCTATTTTTTGGCGATGCTTTTTTTTGTTTCGACAAATAAGGTTTTTGCTAAGGTTTGCTAAGGTTTTTAAAACAATCGCTCATAAATTCGTCATCAAATCTGAGCACATTAAAACAAATCTTTTAAATACTTCTCTTCCTACACACCACTATATTTTGCATCACTCTGTCCCATTAAGATTTATTACTGCCCAGTTTGAAAATATTTCATTCGATTATTCCTATAGTAAACATTTTTAGGCATTGTTGAATAGTTATTTTTATGCAACTTGATACTAAAGCCTTATTTTTTTTTTAAAAAAATTAGTAGCTGGCATTAGAATAATTAATTTATTTACTTTTTGCATTATATGAAACGTGTAATTTGATTCTTTAAGTCAATTTCAGTTGATTTTAGTAGACTGAAATGCTTTGATTGGTTTTAGACATGAAGTTTAAACTTTATTTAGATTGCAAATGCACTATAATCACAAAATACATTTTTATGTTGCTTTTTAACTGGATTATTCCCCAAAACATCCTTTTATACAACCATCTATTTCTTTTTTATGAATCAATTCACTGGTACCATAGTTCGCATATTTTTTCTAATGTTCCCAAAAGTTGGGTAAACTTATCTTTAATAATAATTATATTTATTTCACAAAATGATCTTAAAAATATGAAACAGAAAACAATATTCGCAAATGAACATTATCTATTTTTATTTTTTACCTTTGCTTGCACTTACATTTAATATCTAAAAGAAGCATCAATTCAACTTTTAAAAAAAGGAGCAAAGTACTTTGCTCAATCTAATTAATTCTTGTTTTTTCAGTCTAATATAGAGGTAATGGAAAGTTTCTAATTACCTTATAAGGACCGCCTTTTCTGAGTATCAAATTATATTTATTGATTTTAACTACAAGGTGATAAAAGACAATATTAAAGATGATGAATATACATTAAATGAGATGATTCATGATAATTTAAAAGGTGATAAAGGGATTAAGCAAGATAATAGCGACAAGCCACTTCTCGAGTTACAGATTACATCTACTTCAAAGTTTTTAAAAACAAAAAGTTAATATTTCTGCGCTTGCAAAGCCATAGGAAAACAGTTTTTGAGCTTGCCATGAGGCATGAGGGCTTGCGACACCCTTAAGGAAGCAATTTTTTGAAAATTCTCCAAAGAATGAAACTAAAGTTAAAAACTTACGTTCGCACGTAATCTTGTTCGCTGATTCCTTGAATTTCCCATTACAATTGCATTTAGTCTTATCTTTAGTCAATTCTACACCACTTGGACACACAAATTCTCTTCTTAGTTCACAAGTACCTGAAAGAGAGAAATAAAATAAAATGTAGTAGAAAAATTGTTGCTTCTTTGTCCCCAGTTTAGGTATGAAAGTGTTGAAAATCTTATGATAAACTGTATGCGGATATGATTAAAGATGCTAGGCTAAATTTACCACTTAACGGTTCGAAAGTATTTCACCTTACTTCAGGTATAATCATGATAATTAATTTAGAGTAATTAATTAACGAAAATATTTAATTAATTATAAATATATAATTAACTATAAATATAAAATTAACTGTAAATCTCTAATTTATAAATGTTATAACTAGTAATAACAATAAAATAGAAGAAGAATCAAAAATAATTAAAAACATGTCAACAATAAGCGAACCGAACCTATATTAGTTTTCCCATTTCCTTATCTTGCATTTTGACACGCGGTGTATAAGATTTTTCTTTCAATAGTATAGAATAATAAGCCTTTTTTCCCTGTTACTAAGACTTATAACTCTGGACAAATTCAAATTAAGTGAACTTCAAGATATCATATTAATTGAACGTCATGAGTTCTAAAGAAATTAGTCTCTGCTGAATAGCAAAAATGTGTTAAATATTGCTGGTTTGACATGCTCAGAATTTGCGGTTGAACCTGTTCGTTAGGATCGACTTTAAGCAGCGAACTTTATTTTTTCCAGTTAATCAACTGCACTTGGATAGAGTAACTTATTGTTTTCAGTTTCGGTATTCTTTAGAGAAATTTAAATAATTTTCGATTTAAGGAATAAATAGTCAAAGTTACACGGAATAGGTGACCAGAACGCGACAGAAAATATGGATTTTTCTCAATAGCAAATAAATGAATTATTATGTTTTCACATTTGATTTTTAAAGAATGTTTTACATTTCCCATTGAAGGAATTCATTGAATTTACACGCTTTTAGAAAACGAAAAATTTGAAGAATATTTCTTCATCCACTCGTGACGTCACAAAATTGAAATTTTTGTTAAACATTGAAAACTTTATGATAAATTGAATTTAATAAATATTAAAAAAATTATGAGATAAAACAAAACTAATATGTGTATTTTTTACACATAAAATTTAACCCTTTAACGGGCCCTTTATTTCTAGTAAATGTAAATTAAAGTATTTTTGGAATTGAAATTGTTTTAAGAACAGTAATTGATATTAAAAAAAACTCATTTAGTTTATAAAAATGCCATTTTTTTGTGGTAAATATATTTAACATGACCTATTAGGAACTTACTGACTTTTATTTTTCTTTATTTATAAAATAAATCCCTTAAATGCTACAAACTTCAAAAGGAATTATGTATTTTATACCTTTTATACGTTTTTCAAAAGTGACAAATGGTTACCAATTTTATTTAAACTCACTTCAAGAAAGCTGAAGTTATTGAAAAATGGAAACCTAAATTAAAAGTGGTAAAACGTGGTGGTAAGTATACTTACCACAGCCTTCAAAAGGGTTAAGTCAGTGGCTTTTAAAAGTAAAATTTTAATTTTTTTATCGGTAAATTAATTTTACGTTGCTGGAAATAATATTTTTTCTTTAAATTTTCACAGAAAAGAAGCTGTTAAATTATAATCAGTGTATTTTCGATTCGTTATAAAACATGTGTCACAAGCAGAGAAAAAAGATCAAAGAATCAGGAAAAAAAGGATATCCTTATAATTTTGAATCTCTAGAATTAAGAAAGTGAAAATTCCTAATTTAAAACATCAGAAAAAGAAAAAACTAAAGAATAAAAAGGCAGGAATTAAAATAGCATAAAAGTAACAAAAGCAAACAAAATTTATCATGGAATCACTCCTAAAGGTTTTGATTATCATAAAAAGAAAAATATTTTTCCTTACTTTTATCACCATTAACTACAAGAACCGCTTCTTTTATGCAAACACATGTTTCTTTTGTATCTTCTGTTTCTCCTTTAAAGCAATAGCCATATGGTCCACATTGCAATGTGCAGGGAATAATTGTTTTTGCTTCATCTGATTTTACTGGTTCTACGTAAACGAAAAACTTGTTACAGTTATTTATTAAAAAATTGTTAACTTAGTATATAAAACAAAATGGATACCACTCAACCTAAGAAGGCCATAAAACGCCTCTAAATTCCATTATTGACGAGAGTGATGTATGTTTGAGTTTATATAGCATAGAATGCACACTCGAGCATCATTTACTTCAATTTTAGAAACTATTTATAAATAAAATATGAATTGAAATTATGAATACTTAATAAATTATGAATTGAAAGTTAGACACTCGGGTTGATCTTCCAACACGAAATAAAGTTCTTTCAATGCATTTAGACCTAGCTATTCACTATCCATCATCCCCCCTTTCTACTTTTTGTATTATGTTTGAAATTTAGATGTAGAAGCAGGTAGCCTCCCCCCCCCCCTTAGGCTAGGTACCTCAAACAAATTTTGATCTGCAGTTATATGCCTTTTTGAGTCAGGAGTATACCAACTCAAGTAGGATACTTAATTTTAATCCAGATTGCAGAAATATAAATTTACGATGTGCTACTAGTTCTGCCATTCTCTTTCGCTGACTTATTCAATTTATCGTACGTTGACAAAATTCCAGTCTCCCACGGGCATACCTCCTATGAAGAAATTGAGTGTTCAATTCTCGGACAGGCCCTTTCTAACCAATTCAAAGCAAGCAAGCAAACCTTAGTTTCCAAACAGATGTATGTAAAATTGAAATAATATCTACTGAATAGAACTATACTATCATTTGACCCTATTCATGTAAAAAAAAATTATAATTATATCTGTAGTAACACTACAGAGAAATTTCATTGCTAGCAGTGATGCATACCCAGAGATACCAACTGCTCCGGACCCGCCAAAATAATTAAAAAAACGGTAAATAACTACAAAGTAGATTTTGTAAATATTTGACTACCTTTGCTTGTTATTTAAATGGTATAGCATGACGTAAGTACGATAAAGTGGTGAATTATATAAGCCTACGAATTATTTAGAAATAGTGATGGATAAAAATCTACTAAATTGAATTTATTAAACCGAGAATCACAATTTACAAACTACCACTTTAAGATATATATTTGCTGTCCGGAGCAAGTTGGTATCTCTCTGATGTATAAAAGTCTTTGACCGAGTCTGGCATCAGGGCCTCGTATACAAGCTCATAAATTTCAATATCCCCAAAGATCTAATACTACTAATTAATAATTATCTGACAAACAGAACTTTTCATATTAAGATCAATACAGCATTTTCTTCCGCTAGAAACATTAAAGCAGGAGTTCCGCAAGGTTCAATTCTCGGCCCTGTGCTCTACCTAATTTATTCAGCAGACTTTCCAAATTTTAATAATATGAGAAACATCACCTCAGCCTTCTACGCAGATGATACAGCACTTATGAGCAGATCAATAAATCCCAAGAAGTCTGTTACTAATCTCAGTAATATCATACCTCATATCGAAGCCTGGTGCACAAAATGGAAGGTAGCCATCAACACCACTAAATCTTCACTACTAATTATTAGGAAATCAAGTAAAAAGAAAGTCATTTATCCAAATATTACTCTTTTCAATGATGAAATACCACTAGTTCGAAAGGCCACCTACCTAGGCGTCACTCTTACTAGTTCTTTAAACTGGAATACCCATATTGAAAATATTATTAGCAAAGCGCAAGGAGCCTATAGATCTCTGAAACCAATATTAAACTATAATTCAAAACTATCTCTCAAAACAAAACGAACCCTATACCTCCAATGTATTCGACCGATCATCAGCTACGCAGCCCCTGCATGGAGCACAACCACTGTTAGTCAAAAAAAGAAACTGGAGATCACTCAAAATAAATTCCTCAGATATATCACAGGAGCCCCCAGATCCATGAGAATGAAAGATCTAAGACGAGAGTTAAAAATCAACAAAATAGATGAGCACATAGCTGAACTATGTGCAAGTTTCTTCAGAGATGCACTCTCTTGTCATACGTGCAATTACTTCAAAAATTTTGATTTTGAGCTCATCAAAGACAACATAAAATATAGCCCGGCAACCGCCTTTTTCCTATCCGACGGAGTTTTGTCCCGTAAATTTTGTAAATAGCTGTAAATACTTGTAAATAATTTTGCGCATTTATTATGTATTTCCCCTTTTCCCTGGGGCTATGTGGCTACTGTGCACCTGTGAAGCTCGGGGTAATACCTCGAAGGGAGGCGAGGCAGTCTGCCACAAAACCTCTTCTCTCTCTCTCAAACTTGTTTGTTCAATCTCACTACTTCATTTTAATTTTCTCTCAGTAAAAGATACTGAACCCCAACTTTCACCTCTCAGTTGCGCTTCGGCGATTTATTATTTATTTCCACTCAGATGAATTAGTTGGAGCCCCTAGCGGGGCTGATGCTAAGATAACCAACACATATGAGTATGAGTAATGTATAAAAGTTTTGCTAGTTTGGGCAGCCAGACTGATCGAAGAATCCCTGAGAGAGTATAATTCGTTCACCAGGAGTTGGCACTTGGCTCCGCCTTCATCACGTGGTATCCGACGATACTATTTCGCTGTTTTTGGGAGAAGGATTTGAACAATACTGAACAAGGTTGCTATATGGTGATCGTATGACAAAAATATTTATTTCGCAATCAATCCTTATGTGCATTTCTTTAACATTAAATATTTCAAAAATTACATATTTCTCCCTTGTGAGTGAATAGTTTGTCCTTTTCGAGACATAAGTAAAATTAACATTAAAGGGTTCAAACTTTGGACAGCTCTCCTGAGTAAATTATTGTGACCATCTTCCCAGATTGAGGCCACTCACTTTATTGAAGGGTTCACAAATCCGAATCAGTCAGGAAAACGGAATGTTTACACAAAGAAAATACGTTTTTGTATCTTAACTATAACTAAACTATTTCTTAACTAAACAAACTTAACTATCGTCTTAAAAACTAAGGCTAACAACGTTAAAGAGCACAGAAATATTTATAGAATACAGACAGCTGTTTCGGAAGCTCAAAGGACAACCTTCATCAATGCAACTGTTGCACTGATGAAGGTTGCCCTTTGAGCTTCCGAAACAGCTGTCTGTATTCTATAAATATTTCTGTGCTCTTTAACGTTGTTAGCCTTAGTTTGTATTTTAGCACAAAGGTCGCCCACTTCGAATCATTTAAATTGAGTCCTAGAACGTGAATATCCGATCATTGGAACAAAAGTTTTTCAGGGTAGTCTGTTTTTTATTTCGTGCTCTGTACAGTGCGCAGAGAAAAAAATGGTCTCAAATAATGATTTAATAATTCTGTGCAAAAATCTCTCAATTCACTTGAGAAGTTACCGGGATATGGCAAAATACGCAAAGAATAAAATTATCATTTAGGGATTCGAACTTTAGACCACTCTTCTGACCAAACTATTAAGACCATATTTCCCAAATTCCCCTATATTTTGGAAATCAGAAATCCAAATCCGTCGAAAAAAAAAGATGTGTTAGTCAGAGAAAGTACGTTTCTGTATACTATTTCATAACTTAAATTAATTACTAATTCATTAGGTCACTCTCTCAAACTATTAAGATTGAGTCCTAGAAAGCTGAGATCCAATCATTAGACCAAAAGTCATTCAGAGTAGTCCATTTATTTTCTTATGCACTGTACTTCTCTATGGTGAAAGTGAATAAATTAGAAAAAAACTAAACTTTCAAAATACTGTTTCAAACTTTAAAAAATATAGAGAGTGAAAGAAAAGGATATCACCCTCTAATATATATATGGGTGATTCTCACGAAATATGATAATTCACTGTCCTTTGCTCCAAGATCTAATACTATAATGCTAAAAGAACTTTTCTTTAAAATTTATAAATTGCATTGCTATTAGCATTTTAAAATGACTTTGCACTATCATTGACTGTTTTGTGTAGCAAAATGTCATTTTCCTGGCATGTCCCAAACAATGTTTCCAATAATAACTAGCTTCAAAATAACTAGCCCAAAAATTTTCCACTATCTAATTTTTTTTATCTCAACCAGTGTAAGCATTTCTAGAATATACGCAGAGGGTATTATTTACAAAAACTTAGTTTAAAATAATTTTTTTCTGTCAATAATTTGTTTGTCCCAAGAAAATCTGTCATTTTCCTGGCTACTTTTATTTAGTAATTTATAACTAAAATAGATAGAGCCAGCAATCAATATCTTTTGTTAATAGATTGATTAGATACCCTCCTATATGAACATGTCTTGTTGCATGAATAAAGAACCAATTTTCTGGTTCAAAATCTATTTCAAAAAATTTTTCAAGGTGAGTAGGTTTTTATGCTGTCATTTTCCTGGCTTCTTGAAATCATTAATAACAAAAACTACATAGATTTATCTGAGTTATTTTAAGAAATA